CTACGAAAGAGTCTCATGAAGAAATCCACGATTTAACCAATCCTGATATTCATGAGGAAATCACTGAGCCTGAGACTCAAGAAAATAAGGAACTATCAATAAATCCAATCAATATTGAGACAAATTTGAATCGATTGGATATAGTGGTGGATTATGTCTTTGCATATAATGTTGCATCTAGCATTATGCAAGATAGTGAGGATGTTGAACCTCAATTTGTTGGAGAATGTCGACAAAGACGTGATTGGCCAAAATGGCAAGAAGCAATCCAATCAGAGTTGAATTCACTTGCAAAATGTGAAGTTTTTGGGCCTGTAGTCCAAACACCTAATGGTGTTAAGCCTGTTGGCTATAAATGGGTCTTTGTACGCAAGAGGAATGAGAAAAATGAGGTACAAAGATATAAGGCACGCCTTGTTGCACAAGAATTTTCACAAAGGCCTGGTGTCGATTATGAAGAGACATATTCACCCGTTATGGATGTTATAACGTTCCGTTATCTCATTAGTTTTGCTTTCCATGAAAAGCTTGACATGCATTTAATGGATGTGGTTACCGCCTACCTTTATGGCTCACGTGATAATGAGATATACATGAAAATTCCCGAGGGATTTAAAATGCCTAACACACATAATTCAAAGTCCTGGGGAATGTTTTCAATCAAATTGCAAAGATCTTTGTATGGTCTAAAGCAATCAGGACGAATGTGGTATAATTGTCTTAGTCAGTGTTTATTAAAGGAAGGTTATATAAATGATGCCATTTGTCCATGTGTTTTTATAAAGAAAACAACATCGGAATTTGTTGTACTTGTCGTATATGTTGATAACATAAACCTTATTAGAACTCCTATAGAGCTCCAAAAGGCAATTGACTATTTAAGAAGGAATTCGAGATGAAAGATCTCGGAAAGACAAAATTATGTCTTGGTTTGCAAATTGAACATTTGGCAAACGAAATTTTTATTCATCAATCTACCTACATAGAAAAAGTATTGAAACGGTTATACATGGATGAAGCACATCCATTAAGTACTCCGATGGTTCTTCGATCACTTGATGTGAATAAGGATCCATTCTGACCTCAAGAAAAGAATGAAGAGCTACTTGGTCCTGAAGTACCATATCTTAGTGCAATTGGTGCACTAATATATCTTGCTAATATTATAAGGCCTGACATAACCTTTTCAGTTGATGTTTTAGCAAGATATAGCTCTGCTCCCATAAGGAGACATTGGAATGAAATCAAACACATATTGCGGTATCTAAAAGGGACTACCGATATGGGCTTATTTTTTGGTAATAATTGCAGTCCCGATCTTGTTAGTTATGCTGATGCTGGGTATTTATCTGACCCACACAAGGCTCGATCTCAAACAGGTTATGTGTTTACCTGTGGAGGCACTGCCATATCTTGGCGATCGACTAAGCAATCAATTGTGGCTACTTCATCTAATCATGCTGAGATAATTGCTATTTATGAAGCAAGTCGAGAATGTGTGTGGTTGAGGTCTATAATACATCTTATTCGAGACAAACGTGGTTTGAAATGTGACAAACTACCCACGATTTTGTATGAAGACAATGCAACATGAATAGCCCAATTGAAGGGAGGATTCATAAAAGGAGATAGGATAAAGCACATTTCACCAGAGTTATTTTTCACACATGATCTTCAAAAGAATGGTGATATTAATATGCAACAAATTCGTTCAAGTGATAATATGGCTGATTTGTTCACAAAATCTCTACGGTTGTCAACCTTCAAGAAGCTAGTGCACAAGATTAGGATGCGAAGGCTCAAGGATGTGAAATGATGCTCTCATCAAGGGGAGTTTAATACGAGTTGCACTCTTTTTCCCTTACAAGGTTTTATCCCACTGGGTTTTCCTTGCAAGCTTTTTAATGAGGCAACCAAAAGGCGTATTGTTAGATATGTGTACTCTTTTTCCTTTACTAGATTTTTTTCCCATTGGATTTTATTTTAGTTAAAGTTTTAACGAGGCACATTACTTATTGAGTAGACATTCAAGGGGGAGTGTTATGAATAGAATTGTAATTAGAGTGAATGTCTATCTTTTAGAGAGTTTTACTTTGTGGCTAAGTCATTTTTCCCCTATAAATAGAGGGGTGTTACCCCATTGTAAATCATCCCAAAATTTAATAAGAATTACTCTCTCTTTCTCTGCAATATTGTTCTTCTACTTTTATTGTTTATTACAATAAGGTATTTCTTTTCGATAAATCTTAAGGTGTTTGAGTCATTTTTGCATCCTATGTTTTTTGCTCTTTGCTTTTATGATAAATGATTTACGGATGAGATTAAATAGTTTGTACCCAGGGGCAGCCATTCCATAAAGCAAGTAAAGCAACCGCTTTAGGCCCCATATTTGTGGGGATCCCATTTTTTGTTACACCTAATAGATTATGTATAAGTTTAAAAAAGAGTTTTGTAAAGTGAAAAAGTTTGATTTCTTTCTAACAAATATAGAGAAGAAGGATTTGCAATCGCTATGATTTCTACCAAGAAAATTGCACTTGAAATGGATATCGAACCCGAATTTCATAAGAAATATGTGATATATATGAAGTAACAATTTGATGCAAATGTTGATAAATAAATCTCAAAATCTTTCGAAGAGTCATTTAGAGTTGATTACTTTTATATATAATAGGCAATGCTATTTTTTCACTTCGAAATAGACTTGAACAATTCGAAGCATATGAAAATAATTTTGGTTTTCTGTTTGGCAGTAAAAGCTAAGATCACTAGATGTTGGGAATTTGAAAAAATATTGCCTTAATCTTAAATGTTCCTTAAAGCATAATAATCAATTCGATATTTATGGTTTAGATTTATTTTCTGAATTAAAAGTATTAAGAAAAATAATACAATTAGAAGATAACAGTTTAATTGATACATTTATTCATATAAAAAGATTTTAATTCTTTTCCAAATGCCTAAATTGCTTATGAAATAATGTTCATAACTCAAGTTACCGTTGCTTCAGCGGAAAGAAGTTTTCAAATTTAAAATTGATAAAATCTTACCTAAGAACAACAATGCCACAAGAAAGGTTAAGTGGATTAGCTATATTGTTAATTGAGAAATACTTCTTAGGCGTTATTGATTATAAGAGAATTAAATAACTTTGTATCCAGAAAAAACTAAAAAAATAGACTTCAAATAAATAATAATAATAAAAAAAGCTAAAAACTTAAGGCCTCTCATAAAATTTGGCTTTAGGCCACAAAATTTGTCGGACCGCCCCTGTTTGTACCTTTCATGATTGTGAGAGGTGAACCATCTTTAGAAGGGAGAAATTTAAAAATAGCCAGATTTACAAGTGGTCATTCAAAAATAACCATAGTTTCAAAAGTAATCGAAATATAACCACTTTTCATGTAAAGATAAATCTGAACGAAAACACTGTTCAAAATCCGGAAAAATACTCTAGTATAATATACTAGAATTCAAGTATAATATACTGGAACTCCAGTATATTATACTGGAGTTCCAGTATAATATACCGGTCCAACATAATATACTGAAGAGTGGAGCACCGTGCTCCAATGCCTAGTATATTATAGTGGAACTTCCCGCGTGTTGGAGTTCCAGCATAATATGATGGAAGTTCATACACAGGTACACCGATCTCCAGTATATTATGCTGGAACTTTTCATGTTGCAACAAAATAGTGCTATTTTTCAATGACGTTGCAGACGCTAGCTATTTTTGAATGACCAGTCCAAAAACTGGCTAGCCCATACTATTTAAACTCTTTAGAAGCATTGAAAAGTCGATAATTTGCATACAAAACAACTTGAGTTTTTCTTTGTTTTTTCTGAGAGTTTTCCAATAATTAAGTGATTTTATTGTAATAAAAAATAGAAAAGTGACTTTACTAAAGACATCTCCAACCCTTGCACTATTTTTTTACATAAAAAATGGTGCAAATTAACTCTAACCCACTACACTATTTTTTACGCCAAAAAAGAATATTTCTTTTATACTCTTCTCTTTCTTCTATATTATATTATTTTGTCATTTAAATTTATTTTTTATTTCATAATACAAATCCTTTCTTTTTTCTTTTTTTACATGTTCTAATTCATATTCCCTTCTTATTTAATTATTTAATATAAAATTATTTTATAGCATAAATTTTTAAATAATATAAATTGTAAGAAAATATTATACATATTAATGGATAACTCAAATAAAAATAAAATTATTGCTAAGATATAATTAAATAACTATTACATTATGGTAAAATTTAATTAATTTTTTACGTAAATATTCAAATTTCAGGATTAGTATGTTGCTTCCATAGATGCTCTATAAATGCATTAAAAAGTGCAAAATGAGCATCTTCGTCTATAAAAATAACATATACGAAAATTAATTTATAACAATTATACACCAAAATCAAAATATAAAATTAATATTATAAAGATATTACATAAAAAGTATAATTAATTACAAAATTTATAATATGTTAAATTAAAAGTGAGTATATAATAAAAGATAATAATAAAATATTGATGAATAGTAATGGCGTCGATCACACCAAAATGGTGTAAGAAATGGGGTTAGGTTGGAGCACGAAACACTAAATCTTACATCAAAAGAGCGTTTGGCGTCAACAATGGTGTTGGGTTGGAGAAGGTGTACGTAATTTAGTCACCTTGAATGATCATTTGAGGAATTTACTTCAAATTCAATTTAACTAAAAGATGTTTTCTTTTAAGATGGAGGAGCATTATCTTGAAGCACATTAAAAATGAGTGATGTTCTCTTAAATTCAGTATTAAGTGGTAGTATAGTACAATACCTTCTCTTCTATTTGTAATGAAACCTTCCTTCTTAGTACAGTTAAAAAAGAGCCATAACAACACTAGGATAAGTAAAAGAAAAAATTGAACCTGAGTTTGTACAGGCGAGGTAGAACATTACACTAAAGCAAGACAAAGTAAAAGTAAATTAGGAAGTGATCATATGGAATGTGGAACTACATTTTTCTTATTCACTTCAGTTCTCTTTAGAAGCAGAGGAGGAGCAAGTTACAATTTTTTTTCCAGACCATTAAGACTTTTAACTACAGTAAAAACAAGTAAAACAAAAATCCTTCTCTGGTCATGAAGTAGAAAAAAGAGAAGATAGGTAAATCTAAGCAACTCCACTTCCGCTGTAGTAAAGTATAAAAACAAGAGGAAGCGAGAAGAGAAGATCAAAGCTATGTTGCTCGGATTCTCCGAAAATGTTGCCAGGTCCGTGTCGGATCCTCCAAAAAGTAGTGTATTTTTGGAGGATCCGACACAGATGGGGCAGCATTTTGGAGAGTCCGCGCAACATAGGATCAAAGCCAGAGAGCACCAGCCTCTTTCAAAAGTGGAACTAATGTGCCATTAATGTGAGCTGCCATGACATTGTCCATGGCTCCAACAAGCTTGCCACCTATGAAAACAACAGGCAAAGAAGAGGAGCTGCCCAAAAGACTCATTAAACCCTGCTCCCAACTGGGGTTCTCATCTAATTCATAAACTGTTGGGTTGACACCCATTCCACAGAAAAGCTTCTTGATTGCGTGACACATGCAACAAGTATTATTGCTGAATATCACCACTGCATTCCTTGATGCCATTCTCTGTATTTCTTCCAATGGATCACCACCAACCATCTTAAAATTCTCAGGTAAGTAAGAATTCCAAGACTCTGTTTGATAGTGCATTCTATTAATTTCAATTATGAGAATGTCTATAAGGATGAAAGAAGTTATCTTTTTTCAACTATGGGAGGTGTAAGACAAGTGAGTCAGTTAGCTTAGATATCCTTGTGGTGAGTGAGGATGATTCAGGTAACAAGGGGTATTTATAGAGAATTGCATTTGCAGGTGGATAGAGGCATTGGATAGTGAAGTGTGGTGGGACTGGTTAACTGTCCTTGTAGTATTTTAGCATAAATACAATTTCAGCATTTGGCTTTGTTGTAGCTTATGTTGATCTAAAACATTTACCCAATGAAAAAAAAAATTGTTTATTATGACTCATAGAGGGAAGAGACAAAAGGAGCAGGCTTTTTTCTGAAAAGGGAGTAGAGCTCAGACACTAGTTGTTGTTGTTGTTGTTGTTACATAGAGGGGTGAAATCTTTATTTGATGTCGGCCTTATAATTGATCATGTTTAAGTCAGGAACGAGACTGTCACAAACTTAACAATGAGCCGTCCTTGCTCAGTATGGTTCCCTTTTTAAAGGAGACATTTGTCTCTGAGTTGCGGCTGATTCTAAAAATATTGAGATAGGGTGCATACAGTGTACGTTTTACCTTCTGAGCTCACTCCTTATTCATACTTTAATTTGGACGGCTGCTTTTGGACAAATTCCCGACATTTTGTCTCTTTTGCTATTGTGTAAAGACTCGCGTGTTTTTTGAAACAAAATAGGGAGTACCAGGTAGTAGCAGTAGTAGTTCCCTGATATAAGAGCAGTTGCATATAGTAGGACTAAGAGTAGCTTTGGGGAGACAAAGTTGCTGCACTTTTTGTAATATCAACTTTGTATGGGGTCGAATTTGACCGACCACGTCCTTAAGCCAGCACGACCGACCGAATATACGGGAGTCCGGCTAGAAGGGCAACCTAGGAATAAGAAGAGGGACGACTTCATGATCACGTCGGCCCCTCTATAGCATGTACTTTATTTTTTGTCTTTTAATATTCAAGTAAGGATCATCTATTATATAAAGAGGGTTCAAGCCTTGTAAAAAGGGGATTCATTATCGAAACAGATTATCTCTCTCTCTTATCTCTCTAACATTATCTCTCGAAGATTATCACCTCCTCTCTCTCTCTCTCCGATTTGTATTTTGGGCCCTCTGAATCAATTGTCAAGATCATCTTAGGGTTTATTATCTTCGACTATGATTTACCCCTTCATCTATATTGATTGATTTGCTTAAAAAGTGTTAAATAACTTTTGAGTCAAACAATTTGGCGCTGTCTGCGGGGATTCCGGTAGTCGAAATCATAGTTCACATCTAGGATATCAAAAACAACCATCGTTGTTCTTCAGACCTCATAGAAACTAACAAATGGCAGATAAAGAATCAAGGCTGAAGATGATAGCAGATGTCTCAACCAACCTCATAGGCCCACTCAATGAAGCCGGTAGAGAAAATACCGCGTATGTAACACCAAGTAGTGTAACGGAGGGGGAGATCTCACCCTCTTCACTCGAAGATCTAACGATTTTGCATGAAAGAGGGACTTCTACATCTGCAGCAAAGGAAACGCCCCCAATAGTCAAAAAGCTACTAGAAGAATGGTTGACGAACACTCTAAGTAGCATGCTCGAGAAACCACCTCAGGGAAATATCAAAGATCAGTCAATGGCAGAAATCGCCGCTGCCGCTGGTGAGCCCAGTGTTGTACGAACAAGTAACGCCCACACCGATACCAATGCAAGCGATGATGCGCTCGCAACCATCCTTAAGAAAATGGAGGAGATGGAGAACGAGAATAAAGCACTTCGTGATCAAATGAAGGAACACCAGGAAAGGGTAGACAAGATACCTGGTGCCCCTAAGCTACTACCGAAATGCGATATGGGAAGATTCGTCGAGCAACCGTATAGTGAGGAAGCTGCTCCTCACCCAATCCCTAAAACCTTCAAGATGCCACCGTACTTGAAAATATACGATGGGACCACGGATCCAGAAGACCACCTAATTCATTATGTGACCACCGTAAAAGGCAATAACCTATCGAAGGAACAGGTGCCATCCGTGTTGCTGAAAAAGTTTGGTAAAACTTTGACAGGAGGAGCTCTCACATGGTACTCTCAACTACCAGCCAGATCGATATCGACGTTCGAAGAGATGGCGGACAAGTTCGCCACCGCCCATGCAGGAGCAAAGAAAGCCGAAGCTAGGGTCAACGATATCTTCGCCATCAGGCAAACAACGGGTGAAGGACTCAGGGACTTCCTGGCCCGATTCAACAGGGTAAGAATGGGACTGCCAAACGTATCAGAAGGAGTGGCGGTCGCAGAACGGGCTGAACAGAGACGGATCCAAAGCAACCAAGAAGCTGCTCAATCAACTCATGAAGTATCCCCCCACCACGTGGGAAGAGATTCATAATGCCTATTGCACCGAAGTAAGAGCGGATGAAGACGATCTTAATGGTCCAACCCAACGACTAACGTCCGTACAATCAGAGGTAAGGAGGGATCGACGCAACGACGGGCGACGGGAACCACTCCCGCACTTCAACAGAGAAAGGCATCAGCCTTACGTCAGAACTCCCAATCCGCCTCCTCCAAGACATCCAGACGCGTGCAGCGACATGCCGCCCCGCTTCGGAATGAAAGAGGTATTCCCTCATTATTATCCACTCATAACTTTTGTGTCTCCCCTTCAGAAATAGTGTACGCACTGGAAAAGGTGGGCATGAAGGTGCAGTGGCCACAAAAAATGAAATCAGATCCTAGTGCAAGGAGGTCGAACGTCCTATGCGAATTCCATCACGAAAGAGGACACAAGACCGAAGATTGCATAGGTCTACGGCAGGAGGTGGTCAGAATGCTGAACCAGGGATACCTGAAGGAGCTGCTCAGCGATAAAGGAAGGGCTAATTTCGCCAGAGGACGCGGCCAATCCCAAGGACCACCAAAACCACCTTCTCCAGCGCGCACCATATAGATGATCGTTGGTGGCGGCGACGACTCGGCAATCAACCATGTAAAGTTCACCACCATACACAAGTTGAAGCGCACGATCGCTCACGAACGGTATGATGACTTCGAAGAAAGTATCACCTTCGATAAGTCTGATGCCGACGGTTTGTCTTTCCCTCATTATGATGCTTTAGTTATAACTTTACGCATTGCTGATACTGATGTGAAAAGAATCATGGTAGACGACGGAAGCGGCGCGTGTATTATCCACCCAAGAGTCCTCATGCAAATGAGGCTCGAAGATACGATAATACCGCGTTGCATAACACTAACGGGTTTAACAATGCAGTAGAGCGAACCTCCGGAGAGATATCACTGCCAGTCCTGGCAGGAGGAGTCACGCTGGAAACCGCATACCACATCATGAATCAGGAAACGGCCTACAACGTCCTCATAGGGCGTCCATGGATACACGCCATGCGGGCCATCCCCTCGAGTTTCTATCAAGTAATCAAATTTCCCACCCCATGGGGAATATTCAGCATTCGAGGTCAGCCACGTACCGCCCAAGAATGTTACCGAATTGCCCAAGACTGCACACATACCAAACAGCTGAAGGGAGCAAGCGTGGAAGCATAATGTCGGGAACCAAAATCAACCCGACGACAGAGGTTATTAGGGACCCAGATGTCGTAGAAGCTTGCAAAGCGACAGTCGAGAACCTCGACCCGGTCCAGCTGGACGGTACCGATAGTTCAAAGAAAGCTTACATCGGACACAACCTCTCCGACCCAGGTAAGTACCATGAATTCTTAACTAACCATGCAGATTTATTTGCCTTCTCTCATTCATATATGTCGGGGATCCCGAAAGACATCGCCACTCACAAGCTGAACGTCGACCCACTTTATCCGCCCGTACAGCAGATAAGGAGGAAATTCAACGCTGCGATCAACGAGGCAGTCAGTGAAGAGGTAGATGTTGACATGTGATTTTTGACCCTCCCCGAAATTTTACCCATTTTAGCATGTAAATATTTAGTTTAGGCCTAATATCGCCATTTCAACTAATTTTTACTATTTTACTTTATTTTATTACAATAAAATGAAAAATTACAAAAAAAATAGGTTTATTAATATTTTATAGTCATTTTTAATCTTAAATTTTTTTTACCAAAATAGTACCCTATCTTTATTTTTATAATCTTGAAAACACAAAAAAAATAATTTTATGTTTTATAGTTTAGTTCAATTAATTAAAATTAGTCTTATATTTTTATATTATAATTGTACATAATTTTAGAAGAAAGAATTAGTTTTAGGTTGGTTTATCCCGTTTTTATAAATCTTATAGTCCATTTTTTAGTCCTTGGCCCAAAATCCCTAGCCCATAGTTCCTAGGCCCATACCCCTAACCTAATCCCTACCCTATATAATACTACCTACACCACAAACACACCTGATACACAAAAAAAAGACGCCGGAAAAATCAAAGGACGCCTATACTTTGAGGAAGGAACAGTAGCGCCGAATTTCACATAGAAACCACCCTCCTCCTCGTCATCGTGCTCCTCAACCCAGACCCCAATTCCCGTCGATCTCCTTCCTCCATTCCAAAACCTGCAGCAACCAACGTCCACCAAAACTCCATCCCCATGCCAGCCGTCGTTCACACCACTGAACGACCACCCCCGTAACCTAGCGCTGCTGCTCACCTCCAAATGACCACACGCACATACATGGATAGGGCAGCAACAAGAGGTCGCTGAAACAGAGTGAGAGATAGGCGGAGGAAAAGTGAGACAGTCCGGTTAAAGTTCGACGAGGTTCCGTCGAGGTCGCCGTTCGAAGTCTACGACCACGTTTCGTTGCTGGTATTGTCTTCGTTGATCAGTTTTAGAGGACTTTAACAGTGAGGTCAATTCTTATACCTTATCTCTAATTTTACTGCTCTTACATGTCCATCCATGGCTTGGTTGAAATAAATTTGTCTGGTCTTGTTTAATAATATGGATCTGAAATTACATGTGTTGAATATGATATTTGTTGTTGAGTATTTGGACGCTTGAATCTCATCATCTAGTTTGGAATGATTAGGCGATAATTCTTGTTTGTTGGTTGATAAGGAATCAGAGAGAGGGGCGTGTGAAGTTTCGTCTCTGTTTTTGGTTCTTTTTGCAAAAAGCAAAAAGTGAAACTTCTGAAACCATGCAAGATTTCCTAGAGTTCTTTTGGTATATGTTC